AAAAAAAACTCTTCTGAAATCTAATTCAAATACAAATCCATATCTAAGGTGGATTTTTTTTAATTATTGACTTACCTAATTCTTGTATCGAAACCTATTTTAATTTCAATCGCGGTGTATCGAGGTCGCAGTCGTTTTTACGGTTGACCTTTTGCATTTATAATCATTTGGGTTTGCATAAAAAAAAATTGTTTTCTTTCTACATCACGATTGTGACAGTCAGTTGCAACACAACGCTTCCTTGTCACAGAAACGATACTTGCATCCGTGCAACTAATCGCACAATCACGGCGAAGTTGGTCGTTTCAATTTGTCTTTTTTTTTTGTCGAAAATGAGAGTGCGGCGAATTTATCTACAATCTACATCTATTAAAAATGTTTTGGTTATACAGTATCATATATAGTTAAAAATATGCAGTAAAAAAATCAATTAAAAAACTAATATCGACTAGCCAACAAATTTTTTTCATAAATACACTTTGTAACTAATTGCAAAAACAATAAATAATCTAGCCTATAATGGCAGTAAAATGGCTAAATATTTTGTTTGAGTTTAGGTAAGTAATTTTGAAGTGAGAAAGTAGATTCAAATAAATTTTTACACGAATTACTTATTAGAATTTTATTAGTATATATAAATAAATTTGATTTAATTCGTGATGCTACCTTATCAAAATTTGCAAATAAATATTACAAAACGCGATTTTACAATAAGACATACAATAATAATAAAAAAATTAAATAAACTTTTAAACCAATAAGCTAGAAATATACGCAAATTTTACATAGATACTCAGAGACGTAATATTAGAACAATCAATGAAATGTTTATATTTTTGTTAATGTTTTGAGATGGGTGATACATACATTCTTAAGCTATTGAAATATTTAGTACCTTTTGTATCTGCAATCCTTCAAAGCAAGAAGCAACGTATAAGTTACAGTAAACGTGACGAAGGCACAGTGTTTCTCACGATTTCACCATATCTGTGTTTAACAGGCGTAATTCAATCGCCGTTATACTTTTACCGGTGGTTCACGAGTTTAGGTTTAGGATTAACAGTGACGCGCGTGTGAGAAGTCTTCAATCTAAAATAAAAATTATTTAACAAAAATGAATGACAGAAGAGCTAAGAGCCAAATTTTTCGTATATTTATATTCTTAAAAACACACACACGTTTCGACCTATTTGTCAGGTCATCCTCAGTGTATACATGTGGATAAATTAACGCAAATTTAATAAAAATCATAAAACGGTTAAATACAATTTCTGCAAATTATAGTTACGTAAAGTGGTGGACCTATTTCTTCATGTCTGTTTTCATTCGCAACAATGCAATGCTTTCCGTCTTGTCATCATCGTAGTTACTTTCTTCTTACTCTTTCTCTAAAAATTATTTAACATTTTACAATAACAATAAAAAGGACCGCTACGATGCGTTTTCAAATTCAAAATAATGTATCGAAAAAAATGCGTGTATTGAAATATGTATGTCACTTGGAATTTATAATTAAAAAAAAATTAATATTTCACGTACTAATGAAGTTATTGAGTGATTGACATTTGACGATGTTACAACAAGAAACACGATAAATAAGTATTGATATACTTTTGCGGATATACTGTTGGAACTATTAAAGCTTGTTGCGGTTATCTCATAAATAGTTAATCTTTCCCGAAAGCCTTATCTTAATTTTCGCAAAGTGAACGAAGCTTATCTTAATTTTCATAAAATGAACGAGAAAACGTTCGAAACGAAAATTTTTTAAATCATGAACAGTCGAACGAAATTTTGATTATTAATATTAAGATTTTGTATATAGTTAAACATTTATAGGTAAAGGGAAGATTGTAATTATTAGGTCTTTTGATAGCAAAACTGTTCAAATGTCGTCGACGTTTCTTCGGCGACTTTTGAAAAGTTCTGCTCCCAAGTGATGGTATTTTCTAAGATGGAAGAGAGAATGTAAACGGTGTCAGTGTTCTGATTTTAAGATGTTATTATAAACGATCTGGAGGTATTCTGTTATACTATACTGCATTCTTTATTTTTACATAAAGAAATTTCAGATTTCGAGATATCATATTTACATAAAAATATCCGATATATATCGAATGTATATCCAAATGTAGTTATTTATAAAATTTTTATATCTTAGAAAGTAAACCTAGAATTATGTGTCGTAGTCTTTATTGTTTCCAAAAAACTATTAAACATTTTTTTATAAACAATATATTCTGTTCCTTGTAGAAAATAAATAAAGAAACATATAAATAAATGAAGAATATAAGATGTATATGTAGATAAAAAGCTATCGTCATCAGAACAGTATTTTTAGCCATTACTTCAGCCATTATTTGAAAAAATTATAATATAATTTTATTACGTGATATGAAGCCGATAAAATTATCAATTACGGAGATCCAGAAATAATAACAAATAAAGTGAAAAAATATTCTAAACTAATTATTATTGGGAAGAACCGTGTAAAATCAATAAATACACAGCGTTGTAATTATTCAATTTAAATCGTCAGTTTTATGAAATTATGTACGGTATATATCAGTAAATATCAATAAATATCATAAATCAATAACATACATTGGATATATATTATTAGCTGCATTTAGCAGAAAAAGCAATTTTGCAACTGTTGTAAAATTCTTTAATGTGATTAGTCTTGGTTTTTCACTATATCTAATTGTAAGTGTATAAATCAATCATGTTAAAAAATATTGCAACATCTGCAAAGTTGCTTTTTCTGCTGAACGCAGCTATTGATATATCATGAAGAAAAAACAATAATTTTATTGATAAACGCAAAAGATTTACAAAATTGAATTGTCAAATTTGTTTGCTATAAACAGCAAACAAATTTGCATATTTGACAGATACTTTGCATTTGTTGCAAATAATTTTTGTAGCAAGTATAAAAAAATAAATATTCTGCATTATACCTGCAAATAATTTTGTGATCCTTATATTTACAAATAGAATTTATCGTCATGGTATAGGATTATCGTTCATAGCAAATTTGTTTCTTTTCTTCGACTTTGAAAAATTTAGAATATATGTAAATTCTATGGTTCCATCAAATTAATTTTGGTACAGAGAGGATATCCAAAATTCCTCTCCCTTTCTCTCTATACTTTATCTGTAGATTTTTTTCTAGATACGATAACAATTAGGTAGAAGAAAACTGATTGTGATAAGAAAAATGTAAATTCTAGATAAGCATGATGTTTTTCTGCTTTAATCGTATTATCTTTATCTTTATAGATCACCCACGTGCCGAGATTAATTATCGCGCAGCGCAAAAAAAAAAAAAATGATTCGAACGATCCTCGTTGGACGCGAACAAAATCGACAAATCCGGCACCTCGATACGGCCCTGTTTACAATTAAAACTCCCTACTTCGACCTCCATTTTGAGTTCCTACTTCCTAGCATTTGTTTACTGAAGCAAGCGTACCGTCATTACGACCGTGGAGCGAAAAGAGGAGATATGGTACCCATATACACAAGTTCGTTCGTACAGGAGCGAGCTCAAAAAGATTTCTGTTCATCGGTGAAGAAGGAAAAGATCGGAGAAGGGTGAGATGATGAAACGTGAGGGCGCAGTGCACCTGGCGGACGTGATACGGCCCTGACATGTCGTTCTCCACGCGCGTGCCGCACTAAGGAAAAAGCACACGAGTGACACAAGTGCACGCGAGGATCCAACAATCAACTGATGCGATGTGCAATTACGCATATCTACGCCCCTCTCTCTCTCTCTCTCTTTCTCTCTCCTTTTTTACCGCTCGCTTCCTCGCTCACACATACACACACGCAACACGCGCACGCACGTCACGACTACAATCCGACCGGTCGGGTCTCCCGCCATTTCTACGTGACGGCCGCGACGTGCATGGCCCGTCGAACAGCTGCCGATCGCAACTGATTATCAGTGATCATCCCCCCGGACCGGACGAACGATTGTCGCTGCCGCAAACACACGCACTCGGTCTCGCGCCGGATTGCCGCGCTTATTTAAATTCACACTGACCGTTCGTTCAGCGTACCGGCGAACACCTGCGGTAGCACCCGCGGCTCCCACGACACGCCGGCGTTGTTCGTGCGTGAGCTGACGATCCGTTCGCATGCACACAGTGTTTACTTCAACCGCGACGCGACGCGACGCGACGTCACCGATCCGCTCCTTTTACCACCGTCGGCGAAACTGTCAAGATGGCGGCCGCCGTCACGTGACTCACGACGTTTATGACGTCCGTGAGAATGTTAAAGGGCCGGCGGCCGGCCATTCGCGTTTGTTGCACGTCATCACGTGACCGTGTCCACGTGCGTGTCCAATGGGAGAAGTGCTTCCCTAAAAATAAGGGCGAATTATAATCAAAATGGCGTAAACGGGGTGAACACGATTATCACCACGTCTGCCCTTTTTCAATGATGTAGAATTGATATGGCGATTCGTTATATTAATACGAGAGAATTTGAAAAGAGATTTTTAATAAAAGTAATTATATATGTAATAGACTTTTTCGTTTGCAATGCACGCGCGCGCGCGCGTATCGCGAGAGACTCTATCAGCGTTCCATATACATAAGTTTTATTTTAATATTTCTTAACCTTAATTACATTACTAAATACGTTTTAACCTAATCTATAGTGCATAGATGCTGTAAATTATTTTTCTTCCTGTTTCTTGTTTTATGTCTCGTTGACTTTCCTTCGTCTTTCAATCGTTTATCGATAATCGCATTTCTTGTCTCTTCTGAAACATGACAACTTTTATCTCGGACAACGAAAAACGAAAATTTCTTACGAAATATTTTATAACTCAGTCTTTTTCACAAGGGCTTCTCTAGTAATATTAGCAATAATTCTTAAATCAATAAAATAATAGTAATAATTCGTCATATAATTTCAATTATAATATACACCATAAAGTATTTACAAAAAATATAATTTATATATACTGTAATATGTACATTCATCAAATATTAAGAATTCAACATTCAACGCCATCCATCATCGTTCCTCATCATTGTCATTATCATCGAAGGATAGGACGATTTTTTGCTTTTCTCTTTTTGCTTTCTTTTTCACAGGTTTATCTGTGATAATTGTATCAGAATCTGTTTCTGCTATTTTAGTCTTGCGAAATATAATCTTCTTAGATAGATCAGCTGGGGCATTATTTTCTTCTGCAATTGATAACTTAGATCAATAAAAAATTAGATCATAAAAAATTAAATGCAATTCATAAGATATTTAATTACATGTTTTGCTATATAATGCCATATTCAATATTACATGTAGATTTAGAGTAGCCTCTATATTGAATCTATACCTTTTTTTTTCTGTTTTTTAAAAGCATCTGCTTCTTCCGCCGTTAAATCATCAGAATTTAACACAACAACAACAGGTTGCTCATCAGCCAATTCTTCCCTTTCATCATCGGATACTTTTGGTAAAACTTCTCTCTAATTTAACAAGTGAATATATTGTTAATTCTATGCTTATATATTCTATGCTACATTTTTATGTTTGTTTCTATCAGTGTAGACAGTGTATTAACTTCAATCTCAGTTCAATTTATCATTTATCTTTGTTTAGTGTTAAGAACTAGAAGAAAATAAAGAATAGAATCGAGAAAAAGTTGATTAATATTAATCTGCATTAGGATACGAATTGTAATTTTACAAAAAAAAAAAGTAAACATGAGTATTAAGCATTAATATCCAAACACAACAATTTATAATTATGACACATAAAAAACTTAAGCAGTAATACATGAAGCGAATTGGTCAATCACAATAGAAACCATAAGACAATAACGTAAACTGTAGCAAATTCAAAATTAATTTGCTTATTGTTTAAATTTTTTGTGTGCCATATCCTTTTGTAGAGAATCATACTTTCGTATCAACAGTAGGACCTTCTTTATATCCAATTTGTTCCTTCAGCTCTCGTAGAAATTTTGGTTCGTTCGGTTTGATATACGATACATTGTGTTTTTTTCGTGACATAATTTTGTTAACGTGACGTTCTCCACAAAAGATTGTTTGAAAAACACGATAACCTGTCACACTAAAATGATAACTGTAAACAGAGCTCTCCGTCAGTCTACTTTTTCTTCTCTTCTTAAAATTCCTATTTGGATTTCCGACTCACTACAAAGAACACAATACCATGAGACAAAGAAGGATCCAAAGAATAAGGATTCAACTCCAACGATAACCTCTTCAGGAAGCAGAGGATTTGTTTGTTCATTCACGGTTTACGATTTGCAACTCTATTGTAAAACAGGCTTTAGTTCTGAGCGGTCCTTAAAGCGGCGTCTACAATGGAATTTAAAGCGTAAAATTTAAGTTTTAAGTGTAAGAAATTGACCAATCACAGTCGATTATTCCTCTCACAATCGACTCTGATTGGTTAATGTCTTCCCAGCAAACGAGAATGGATTGAAATTTTTTTTTATCCGAATGCGTATTTTAAATAGCGAATACTTTTTTTGGATTCAATTGAATTCAATTAGATCTAATTGGATGCAATTGGATTGAAAAACTGCATTTCTTATTCAAAATTTTAAATTGAACAGTATTCACAGAAAAAGCTAATATTATTTTTAGATTGAAAGACATAGAGATGTCTCCATGCAATTTCTATAAATGAATAAAAATGCATTCAGGATTGAAAAGCATTCATTTTAACATTCGTGAATCGATATTTCTGAAAATCTGAATCCATTTCAATTCATTTCAATCCATTCTCGTTTGCTGGGTTACGATTTAAAATTCAAAACGTTCAAAACTTAAGAAGCATTGTAGAAATCCTATCATATTCGATTATAGTCGATTAGTCTTCATCTATCCATTTCTCAATCGCGAAAAAGTCAATACAAATCGAGCACGTGAGTACTCCGCCAGAAAAGGAGGTTTTCAAGTCTTGCAGTTGGCAATATTTAATGCCAGTTTCACGAACATCAGTTAAGCTTATCCGTCGATTAACTTCATCACCAGAATAGCCAACAGGAAGACTTAAAAATCTGTCTTTCTCTTATTCTTGTTAGTAAGTAAAGAAAAAGTGTTGTGTGGAGATAATAAATAAAACATTGAAATGCACGCACAAATATATTTGACTATTTTTTTACAAATACATACTTTCGAAATTAGATTAGAGAGTTGATGAATTTTCAGTTTAGCAGTTGGCAATACTCAAAAGTTAATCGACGGATAAACTGGCGTTGGTGAAACTGGCCCTTAATCGACCGATTAAAGTTAGTCGATGAGACCGGCACGTAAGCTTGATACATTTGATATTTCCAAGGAAATCCGAGGTGAAAGTCGAGTACGGAGTATCAGTACCGTGAATTCACGATCACGATGTAGTCTCGTTTAATGAATCCAGTGAGCAGAGGTTACCGGTTCCGATTGATCGCGGTGTTTTTCTGCACGTGTGTCATTCACGCGTTTGTCGGAATACGCATGTAAATTGTATGTATACATAACATGTGTACACAGTCTCGACAGCTTCCGATACTACTGTGGTCTATTTTTATTATATTTTATTGAATTTATCCTCGAGACACGACGTTAAAATCACGTATGTGCCGGAATTAATTACGGAATTTTCTCTCTTTCATATTATTCTGTTTATTTAGTTTAAAACTTGATGCTAATCTACATATGATATGGGTACATAGCGACGTGGCAAAATGTCTCACGTAGAATCATGTAAAGTTCGGCAGCAAAATGAATTGGAAGTCTTGAAGGTATATGACGCGCTAAGTAAGCACGTGGCAAAAAGTAACATTTTCCAAGCCATGCGATGTAATCTCTCTTAATAATTCTATTTTGTCATTTATAATAGTCCATTTTTGGTGATGAATTGCGTGACTTGAGGAAGAAGAATAAAAAGAAATGGCAACCCCTAGATATTGTTGTTACCCTGACACCGCAGAAAGGTATGTCCGGACCAGCGGAAGTCTATGCACAGATAGATTTGCATATTACGTGCTGCGACAAATATCCTCATGAGTAAGTTTTACATCTTTCAATATGTACCATATTTATTTCATAACGCCTACATAATTTATTTGTCATATTTTAGAGTACCAACTATTCAACTGCAAGACAGCAGAGGCTTGTCTCATCAACAGGTTGCAGTTTTGTCATCTGAGCTCGAAAATTTAGCACAAAAGTTAAAGGGTGAAGTTATGATTTTTGAATTCAGTCAGCATGTCCAGAAATATCTGCACGAACATAACAAACCGAGTTACAGTAGTTTTTATGAGGAGATGGTATCAAGAAATCAAGAAAAAAAACAATATGAGATGCAAGAGAAGCAAATGAAAGAAGATAAAGAGAGACAGGTTTGATTTAATATTGGTTGGTTCATGTATCTCAATTGCACATTATAATGTTTGATTAATGTTATTATGGATATTTCCATAGGTTCTGCAAGATGCCATACAAAAACGTCAGGAAGCCCTGAAAGCTGAGATGCGTAATCGAAAGGAAACAGTTCGATTGACCACAGATTCTGATATTGTCTTTCGATCCATCCCATCATCTCCGCACGAACGAGGGACGAGCCGTTTTAGACGTCGATGTGTGAGCACGTCGGAAAGCTCTGAAGGATCATTGTGCGAGCATAGGGGTACTAAACTCATCCATTTCGACAGTAATAAAGGCGAGAGACAAGTGCACCGAGGCAAATGCTTGGGACATGGTACGAAGGGTTCCATAGTATACGCCGGCGTGGATGAGACTACTGGAGAATTATTAGCTATCACAGAATGGACGTTGAAATGCGCGATGGCAAATGGTTGCTCTACTCAAGAAGTAACCATCGATATACAATATGCCATGAAACAGATTGCCAGTTTGGAGCAAGAGTTGAATCACTTGTACAAATTGCATCATCCAAATCTTGTACATTATTTAAATATGAAATATTTGCAAAATAACAATAACGTGGTGATTTACGTGCTTCAAGAGTTCGTGGTATGTAAATATGTGCACATATATTGCTTTGGAGCAGCAATATTTGATAAGATTAAGAATGGTTTTCACGTTTTATGATATTGTATGTAAAAGTAGGTTGGCACCACGTGCTCGTTCTTCCTGATGGAAAACATTCCAGTCGACATCGACATGTTGAGGCATTTGGCGACGGGTGTCCTCGACGCATTGCAATACCTCCACGAGAATAATGTAGTGCATAAAGATTTACGAGACACCAGCATTTATATAGACCATATGGGTGTCGTAAGATTGTCCGATTATTCTTTAGATAAGAGATTGTCAGACATGTATCATTCGAATTCCTTAGTAAAGACTGAACATGATTTTCCAACGATTCAAGGCCGAGGTGGCAAAAAGGCAGATATATACAGATATGGAATATTATTGCTTTCGTTATTAAAAGGAACCATTATATCCGGGGAAGAAATCGATCTAACAGTAATCCCACAGGTAGATTTCCTTCTAGTAATAGAAAATCTGTCATTAGTATTACACTGAATTAGTACATATTAAAGACTACTTTATGTGAAGTATCTGAATGTTCAATGCAGTAGCATAATGTATTCTTTAAAATGAAATAATATGTAATATAGATTTTGACAATAAAATGATACATATATATTCTGTTAAACAATATGACACTGTCACATTATTGGATATTTAATTATTTAAAATGTATATATTTTATACTAAAGTTTATATACTTTTACATTTAACTTGGCTGATTTCATGTATTCTTTCAGTATGCACTAATGTAGTGTAAGTGACCAAATTTGCTATTTGTGTAATACATACGTTTTTCTCATAAAGTGCCAACAATAGACGCGCGTATCCTAAGTTAAATAATTTCTTTTAGCTTCACTTGAGAGACTTTATTTCAAAATGTCTCATTGACGACGAAAGAATGCGTTGGTCTGCAGAGCAATTGCAACAACATGGTTTTATAAAAATACCATTAGCACGAGGTTTATCACCTTCAGTACCGGATCACGATGAGAAAGAGAAAAATTTAGAGCCAGAAGAACCGGATATCGATATTCAGTTACATTTGCCATCGATGGGTAGGCAATCAAGAATACAAAATGAATTTGAAGTGCTGAAATGGCTGGGAAAAGGAGCCTTCGGCGATGTTTTGAAAGTGAGAAATAAATTAGATGGCGGTGTCTACGCTATCAAACGCATAGAATTAAATCCAAAGAAAAAACAGTTGAATAGGAACATTACACGCGAAGTTAAATTGCTCTCTAGAATGAATCATGAAAATGTAGTACGTTATTACAATTCGTGGATTGAAAGTGCTACTTTGGATGATTCAGTCAGGCATAGTCATTTTACGCCGATCACCACATCTTCAGATAGAATAACCACCACGCAGGATAAAGCAGATATAGTTAATGTAATTATATTCACGATAACGATTACGTCGCTCGTAACAAGAAGAGCCGTAACAACATTCTACTTTATAATGTTGAATTATATATAATTGTAATCAGACTTTTGCGCTGTATAAAAACATGACGTGAATTTTAGCATCTGGAAAGTGATGAGATAGAAAAATTTGCTCCACCGTTACGCGATGTTGAATGGAATATATCGTACGAATCTCGGGCGAATGTGACTGATAGTGACGATGAGAACAGCGATGCATCGACTGATTCCGATAGCGAAGAACACTGCGCATTTCTGTAAGATTATTTTCTTTTTCTGAAATTATATATCCCACTGTAATATTTAATATTTTTATTCAACTTATTTCATTTCATTTATATTATTATAACGTTTATGCAATTTTATATTTAAGATATGATGCACAAAGAAACTACTTACTATTTGAAAAGCTGATTTGAATTTCGTCTCTTACAGAATGCGAACTTTATTACATATTGAGTCTTCCGATAGTATTGAATTCGAAAGAGACGATATATCACAAAAATGCGCAGTTACGCTGGACGTTTCCAACAATGATGTTAAAGATACTGAAACTTCTAGCGAAGATGTAACAGTAAAAGAAATACAATTTATGTACATACAAATGGAATTCTGTGAGAAAAGCACATTAAGAACTGCCATAGATAATGGTTTATATGAAGATGAAGAACGTTTTTGGAGGCTCTTTCGAGAAATTGTAGAAGGTTTGGCGCATATTCACCAGCAGGGTATGATACATAGAGATTTGAAACCTGTGAACATTTTCCTCGATAGTAATGATCACGTCAAGATAGGAGATTTCGGATTGGCCACGACTAATATA